AGGGAAAGCTAGAAAGTACTATGAGAGCTAATGGTTTTACATTATGGGACATATACGATGATGCTTTTGATATTTCACTGTCACACATTAAAGTTTTGCTTACAACTTAATACAAAATAGTTAAAAATTGTACTAAGTTTAATCATGTTTTCTCAAGAGGTAAATGTTGACTCTTTTAGATCAATATAAATACAGCCATAAATGATATAAAATAAAACTGATATAAAAAACAACATAAGAAAAAAATATAGAAAATCTAGGCGCCCAATGCGAGGTGACTCAGCTAGTTATTATACTCCCTCCGTCCCAAAATTCTTGTCTTAGATTTGTCTAGATACGGATGTATCTAATACTAAAACGTGGCTTGATACATCCGTATTTAGACAAATCTAAGACAAGCATTTTGGGACGGAGGGAGTATAATACACACCATAAAGATTAGAAAGTAGATTCATTGTCATAAGTACTTATAAAGAAATTGTGATTGGCATCACACAAATGACCAAATGTTAATTAATAGACTAACTACCGGTTAAAAATATACTGGTCAAAATCTTGTTTTTAGTAAAGAAAATATGCCTTACATTTTTGGTGGAAGAGCGCATTTATGTGCAAATACAAGTAGTATGGTTAGAACCAATTAGGAGTCTAAAGGAGTATGGGAAAAACATAGTATGTGCCACTATCTAGTTCGGATATTTCATGTCCGCCACTATATTTTAACGAATTGTGGCTTTGCCGTTGACGGTTGTGAGCAAATTAGCCACAGGCCCTGCGCACCGTCTCATTCGGTCAGACCTCATTTCCGTCTACTTTGTCTTCTTCCTTCCTCTATATATGGGACGCACCACATGGCATGTCAACTACAACGAGGACGAGATGCATCTGACTATAGCAACCACCCTCGGGCACCAAGTTGACGGGACGGAATGGCATAGCCAGGCGTGTTGACGCTGGCACATTCATAATTTCCACTTTCCATTGTTTGCACGCCATGTCGGCCTGTGCATGCAGGCTCATGAACTCAATTCTGGCTATGGCCACATTTCCCAGGACGTTCATGCGCTTATCCCACGACACCGCTAGAGATTTTGACCCTAACTACTGCCCTCGGCCTTCAACACAATGGTCACTTTCACCGCGGCCTCACAACCTCCTCCGCAGCTTGGCCTAGCCCATGCAACAACCACCATGGTGTCGCCCGTCCCTAGCCCTCTCCCGTCGGCAGTGTGTGTTAAGAACCTGACCTTGGGCAATGCTAGTGACGTTAGTCCCACCTCGAATATGGGAGGAGAGGCTAGGACCTCCTATTATAAGGGAGAGTGCCACACTCCCTTCAGGACGGTCTTTTGGGATATGATGGGCTCTCCGCTTGTAGTGAAGTGTCCGATTCGCACCGGAAACGTCCGAACATACGCCGATGGACCGGGAGCTGGGCTAGGCTGCTAACAGTTCGGCAGGGCCAGCGCCGGCTTCCACACTCGCCGCTCTACACCCAAGGCGTATGGGGTGGTGGCAATCGCCCTGCTATGTGATGTGCACCGAGAAGTACGTTGCACCACCTGCCTTCGCGCCTGCACTGCCAGCGTCACCAGCGAGGAGCTCTATGCGAACCCAACGGGAGAAGTGCGCTCCGCAGAACCCCATCGCTAGGCTGAGGAGGAGGAGCGCACCTGCGCGAAGGACATCAAGTTTGAGTGCTGCCGTCAGCGCACTCCCGGGGTAGAGGCCTGTGCTCTGGATTACACCCTAGCTGCGTACGGCTTTTCACAATGCGGGAGCCGCCCCTGGTGGTATGTCACCCGGGTCATAAGGGCGTCCATGTTAATCTCAAAAGGAGAAAGCTACACAAGGGCATGTCAAGAACCAAAAAATAGCTGGATTGTAGTATGAGGAATAGTGGGAGGGAGTTACAGAAAAATAATGGTAAAGGAGTGTTGAAAGTAGATATCTTATTTTAAAACCAAAATTTATCATTTTACCACTTGATGTTGTCGGTTGAAGTGGTATGTGCGACCGCTATATAGCCCCTGGTTGCAGGTTGAAATCAACGGCACTACATTGCTAGAATATATTTTTTAATTTATGTTGTTCAACTTCATGTTTATAAAGTATATGAATCCTTTCTTGACACTATACTTGAACGGGTCGACTAGCTAGCCACGCACACCTGCACATGTTGTTCGAACCCCGTACCAGTATTAGTTATTAATATACGTTTTTAAAAATTTATCAGTTTCTCTCTCAGGGCCTTTTTGTAATAAAAAATCTATTCCGGGGGGTTTTCAGCAAAAACACAGGCCACACACGTTATCCTTACATCCTGGTGTGCCTCATCAGTGTCGTGGACGTATGAAAATGAGATTTGAACCATATATGCACGTCCATACCAAGTTATAGAACCAGTTCAATGTATTTTGCAAGTTCAGACACCAAAGTGCACATTCATGGCAAGTTAAAGCACCAATGATGTATTTAACTCTTTGAAAAATATGTACATTTCAAAATAGATGACGACCTAGAACACATGAAACTTTCTTATATTTGACAATCAAGTATAAATGGGGGAGTGAAAATAACATAAGTAAAAAGAATTACTATTTGAGAAGTATTTCAAAATTATTTTTTGCACACTTATTTAGGTAATACTAGTAAAGAACTGGTTATCCATTTTTGAGCCCAGGCTCAGCTGCACCCGCCCTGACGAAAAAAACAAAACAAATACTAAAACAATTCAAAAATTTCCAGTTATTTTGTGTGTGGTAGATAATTTGATGCGTGAGGTTCACTCCAATTTTCGAGACATTTGGACATCTGAGCAGCCCTCGAAAAAAAGACAAATTCGGGATCTGTAAAAATGTTTACTGTTCACGCACTATTCTGACCCAATTTGTTTTTTTGCTGAGAGCTGCTCAGATGTCCAAATGACTTGAAAATTGGAGTGAACCTCACACATCAAATTATATACCACACAAAAGAATGGAATATTTTGAATTTTTTCTAGTATTTCTTTTGATTTTTTTCTGACCGGGTGCAGATGAGCCTGGGCACCGAAACGCCGCACTCAGAAAGAACATATTTTCACATTTGTAGCATGTCTAAAGCATCACATTTCAGAACAAAAGGAGTAAATGCGATGAAGAAAGGTTTATGAAGGAAAAAATATCAATTTTTAGTTTATCTACTTGATAAAATGCACAACTTCCCATTTACTATTCGCCTTATTGGACATGTGGAGCTATGGATATATATCTAAAAAGTATTTTTTTCTACCAAAAGACACTAGACCTAGAAAATACAGAATAATGAAACATACTAACTCGGTCGAACCCACAACTAATTGATACGTCAAGCCTTATTATCACCGTACAATAAGTGATACCATTGATTTAATGAGCACTTACTATATTGATGATTCATAATCAGTTAATTTCTTCTAGCTATTGCTCTGACCGATCCTCATTATACAATTTAGACCATAGCCAATAAATATTCATAGTGATATGTAAACATTATTTTCTTATTGCTCTGATGGGTCTTAATTATTATTTCTATCACAAAATTTTAGAATTACACAACTGTGTGTATAATAAACAACAATAGATAATTTGAAATTTAGCATTGCTTGGTGACATAAGATCATAACAAGCTACTAGCAAGCTTTCAATGTCATTTTACAGTAAAGAAATGGTTATTGATGTATATGGTGTTTCTGGAAATTTCATATCTATCCTTTAGCTAAAATTAACTATGATTAAATATGTTTACCATAAAAATAATATTTCATTTACCATATTTTTATGGTGGTTTGGAATTTCATAATTTCGACTAGTTCAATATTAGTTTCTATGAAACACATGAAATTTATTCCTCGAACACTTTAAACACATAAAAGCTGATCCATATGTGAGGGCTACTATCCTAGTTTATGAGACAACAAAACATGCGAGGTATATGCTAAATCATATATAAACAAACAAAACTTTTGGAATAAAATTTACTAAATGTCGTTCTCTAACAAAAAAAATTAGATGATACCCTGTGCATTGCTGTGGCAATACGTTGGAATTAGTTGCATATATTATATTGATGAGATTTCGTGGTCTTAAATTTGAATACGAGACTAAAGATTAAAAATACACATGATTTATTGTATTTAATTATATATAGTTGTGAAATATCTATATAATTAAATAGTATTTTCATACATTTTATGAGTAATAAACATAGTGGGGTTGATAAAGTGGGTTGTGTGCATGCATGTTGACATATTTAGTATACATAGCCTTTTCCATGCATGCATGTTGAGATCACTAAAGATAGTGGAGTCGATGATGTGGCACAGCAGCGGAGCTACACCACGCGCCCGGGTCGTGGCGCGAGAAGCCTTCCTTCGCAGTAGTATTTTTGGCACTGCTAAACAATGTAGATCACTGTAGCAATGAAACAGGCCCAAGGCCGGCAACGCTAGCAGCCTGGCTCCGCCCATGATGTGGCATGTGTGCTGAGGCGGCCTGTGTCCATGTTGAGATAAATAGAAGTACTGGAGATCAGCCACTTATCTATACAGGATCTAGGATGTGAAGCATGCACTACATATATATGTTTGAGGCGTCTAACATATATACCATTAATGACAACAAAATTCTTAATGCAGGAAATATAACTTGTGACTCACATGCGTTAATTGGTGATGTGGCATAGTTCCATGAAGAGATTAATGTAAAAAAATGTAACTTATGACTGTCATGCATGACTTGGTAATGGGGAAGTCCTTCATGGGTAGGAAATATAGGCTATGGATTGCAACTATTTAGGAATATATTTTACATATAATGACAAACTAAAATTATGTTTGGAGCTTACATCTCTTCAAATATGCATTCTTGTAGCCCTAGTTAAAAGATTGTGCTGCAATTGAACATCAGAAACACATGCAAGTCACATTTGTCATGATTATTATCTAACGGTAATTAATCTCAATTTTTTTTGAATAAAAGGTAGACCGGACGGTGAATAAAATATCTGAAGAAAAGCTGAAGTTGCCGGATGATAAATCGAAGCACGGTATTGAGCTAAAAAAATTTATTTTGAGGTGTGGAGGTCTTCCTAAAATAATATTTGCCATATCAGACGTGTTGGCCAGAGAAATGGACCAAGGGATGGGTTTGATTCCTTCTTCCAATTTGACATTAATGCAACACCTGGAGACCATGGCGGATCTACATGGTCTATTTTCTTGGATGCACTTGTACTTCCGTACCTGTCCAGATTCACTGAAGCCATGTATCTTCTACTTGTCGATTTTTCCTCTTCATTGTATCATTCGGCGGAGGAGACTGATAAGGCGGTGGATGGCAGAAGGTTACTCGAGGGACAACCATGAAAAATTGGCTGAGGTGTACGGGGAAGAGCACTTCTCCAGCCTCCTCCTGCTTAATATAATCCAGCAGTCACCACAAGAAATAGCCACAGCTACCACAGGTAGCACAAGGATGGTCTTGTGCCAAGTCAATAGTTTCATCCATGAGTATGTCAAGTCAAGGCGAATGGAAGAGAACTTTTTGTTTGTACTGGGGGACAATACTGGCACAAACACCCAGCGCACTGGGCGCCACCTTGCCATATTGAGCAATTGGGAGAGAGATAGGCTTCAGTTCAAGAGCATTGACTTTTCCCGGTTACGGTCACTGACAGTATTTGGAAAGTGGGAATCATTCTTTGTCTCTGATAGAATGAACCTTTTGAGAGTACTTGATCTAGAGGATGCTTCTGGTGTAGGAGATGATGATATCGAAAAGATGGTGAGGGTGCTACGTCGCCTCAAGTTCCTCTCTCTACGAGGCTGCCGTGATATTTGCAATCTGCCAAGTTCACTAGGAGACCTAAGGCAGCTCCAGACTCTCGATGTCAGAAACACCTCCATTATGACCCTGCCAGTGAGCATCTTGATGTTACAGAACCTGCAATATATTCGTGCCGGCCTCGATATTGGTGTTCCACCCATTCATAAATCCAAGAGTATGTTTGGTATTGAGGTGCCGAGCGGGATTGGGAAAATGGCAGGGCTCCACACTTTTGGCGTTATCAATGTCGCGTCGTCAGGGGGAAATGCCTTCGTCAGAGAGCTCAAGAAACTTACCCAATTGCACAAGCTTGGAGTAACCGGCATTAACAGCAAGAACAGTAAAGAGTTTGGAATTGCAGTTATTGATGCCCATTTGCAATCCTTGTCTCTGCAGATCGAGAATGGCAGTGATAGCTGCCTGGATAATATCGCTATGCCTTGGATAAACATACGGAGCCTTAAACTTTATGGCCTTCGAGACAAGTTGCCTGCATGGACCAAGCAGCTTTACAAGGTGACTAAGCTGGATCTGGAGATGTGCGCCTTACTGGAAGCTGACATAGAATTCCTTGCCGAGCTCCCAAAACTATGCATCCTACGCCTTCGGGTTAAGCAGCGCAGCCTCTGCTTTTCTGTCCAGTTGTTTGGAGTTGAGGAGAACTCTTTTGAAAACCTCAAGCTCCTCGAGATTGCCAGCAACGCCAGCAGCATGCACGTAACATTTGGTTCCAGAACAATGAGCAATCTTGAGCAACTCAAGCTGGACCGCTCCCGTGGGTTGTCATATGTGCTTTCTGGCCTTGATCATCTATGCGAACTAAAGCAAGTCTCTTTTAAGGGTACCGATGATGAACACCTCAAGACTGACTTTGAGAACCAGCTTCTCAACCATCCAAACAAACCTGATGTGAAGCTTGAAAAATAGCACGTCCGTCCTGAAGAGTCATTTATCTGGTTATTTTATTCCGAGTTCCTTTTTACCTTCCAAATGCTCAGTTTTTGCAATCCCTTATTTTCTTTTAATTAGCACTATCAGGTGACCTGCGTATTTGCCTAGATATATATGTTATGTTTTTTTAATAATTACATTGTTATGTACTATATTATATTAGAACTAGCTGTCTCGCCCACGCAAATAGACTATTGATAAATATTGTCATATCTCAAAAAAATAATAATCATCCCACAGGCTATTGTTGAAAATATAGCGCATATGGTCTCGTGGAACATCGGCAAACTTTTTCAGACTTCCATATTCTTGAAATAAATTGCCCGCCTATCTCCATCAGTACAGACTGATGGGTGAATTTGTTAGGTGCATAAATTTGCAACCAAGAGGTTTAAGGTTCAAAACCTAGAAAACGCAATAAAATAATTGTGTCCGCCGCACGCATCATAAACATCAAATGAGCATAGACGTGAGGGGGGTGTTGGGGTGTTGATGTATGAATAGGTCATTCTTACAGTATATACTTTGTAGTACTGAAATCACTACGAATAACGCTGGCACCCCGACCCTGGCTGAAGCAACTGATTGGACAGCCCTTGTTTCGTCGCTTACAGTGTACGGAAGAATGACAATCCTGCCATGAATCTCACATACGTTTCATGTACGCCACGAAGTTTTTCTTGTGTGTGCAGAAATATGCCTCAGATTTCATTTACTTACGATAAAAACCTAAAATTAGAAATGTGGGTTCCACATGTAAGTATGGAAAAAAAAATCTAAAGCGGAGCATTGAACCTAATACCTCCAATCAACGGTTGCTTAGCCGTCACAAGATAACCACCAGGCGATATGGCGTCCCCATGTACCTCTTCAAGCGATATCTTTTTCTTTAATATTTTTCAAGTTGATGTTTTTCTTGATATTTCTTAAAGTGCTCGTGCATTTTCCAAAGGTGTTCAACATGTTTTTGCAAACATGTTTTTGGAAAATGTTTTGTCTGTATTAAAAAAATTGCTAACATGTATTTGAAAAATGTCCGTCGTGCATTCAAAAAAAATCTCCTGTATTTAAAAAAATGTTCAACGTGTTTTAAAAATATTGTGTAAAATAATTCTTACATTTCTAAAAGCATAGTTAACATGTTTCATTACATTTCTAGAATTTATTATGATGAAACAATAATTTTGATTACACATTGAACAGTTTTCAAAATACAATATTTTCATTTTTAAATAATTGTTTATTTTAAGAATAGAACAGAAATACACAATAATTGTGCGTACTAGTGGTCTTGAGCGAAGATACATAAATTTACACAATATTTTTTAGTACAGGTTCAATGTTTTTTGAATCCATGAAGAACATTTTTCAAAAACACATTTGCAATTTTTAATACAAGTGAAACATATTTCAAAAATATATTTACAAATTTTTAATACATGTGAATTTTTTTCTAAAATCATGTTGAATTTTTTTTAAATGTACTAAGACTTTCTCCAAGTTTTATGACAACTTATTTTTTCTTTCATTTCTTTTTCCAAATGGGAAAATAATAATATTAATAAAAATGAACTTGGAAAAAATTTAAATGAAATTTGTGCAGGCCAATAGAAGCGCGACATATTTAAAATAAAAATAAAAAATCGCTTGAAGTGTCACATGGAGACGCAATGTATATAGTCTAGCTCATAATTGTACGCCTAGCAAGGAATGACCTTGTGGTTAGCTTCTGCGGGCTAAGGGCATCTCCAGCCGCGCCTCCAGAAAGGCCTCCCCAGGCGATTTTTTCGCGCCGGCGCCGAAAAAACGGCCCAGTCGCGTCCCCAGGAGCCCGGTTTTCGCCGGCTTGGGCCGAAAACAGCGCCGGCGGACCCAGACCGAACCCGGCGCGCTGGGGGGCGCACGGGGGGCGCCGGGGCGAACTGTTTTGGCACGAAAAAGACGCGGGCCAGCCGCGTCAGCGACTCGGCGCCTCGTCTTCCCCCAACGGCCTCGGTTCCCGCGAGGAATCAATGGCAAGGCTGCCGCCGGTCAGCCTTGCCATTGATTCCTCACGGGCGGCGCTTCACGGGACGGCGCGCCGACGCCTCCCCTCCCTCGCACGCGTACACACGGGCGCGGCCCGGCTATAAAAGCTGGCGGCCTCCAGTCGC